TGGGTTTGCATCATGTGGCCCAGCCCAGATCACTCTAATTCAAAACGGCAGCTGCATGTGCCAGAGTCCATTGTGAATTAATCAACCCACAGTTTGCCACCAATTCTGGGCAAACCAGGTCGTTATGTGCAGCTTAATCCTTCTGAAATTACTCTTGCAATATGTTCTTCAGAGGCCAGCACTAGTATTTAATGGGATCCATGTAATATTTATGCTGTTTCATCTGCACACACACACACATGCACCCACCCTAGAATTTAGAAGACCATAAAGACTGTGTTGAGCATCATTTTGAAATTAGCAACAGAGCACTTGTGGGTGGAATGATGAGACTGGAGGAATACAGAATAAGAGGTAATTAGTTAATATCCTTCTCCTCTCAGCTGGGTTCTGCCTGCTTGTTTACTTCTTTTTTAAAATGGCTCTTTAGGATTTGCAGCAATTAAGCTATTGCCCAGTATACTATTACGCTGAAAGGTTTCTAGCTAAGAAGGTGTTCTCTCTCTATCTGATGAGAATGGCCACTCCTTTGCATCTGCTTTTATATGTTTTTCAGAGATGTAGATTGGTGAAGGTTTATGTGTGTTGTGAGTATGAGTCATTCATTCCTTGGGGAAGGAGGGTGATATTTGCTTGCTAAACAAACCTTTCTTGTGATTCATGAAACACCATCTCTGTCAGCTTTGTAGGAAGTAAGTTCACAGGCCACCTGGCAGGTGGGGGAGCTACTTCTAAAAGGATCATGGGAAACTGGCCAAATGCTAAATGTTTTAGAAAAGGGAGAAACACACAAGGTGGATTCTCAGGCACGTAGCAACATTTGCCTGATGACATGCCTGGATGCTGGTGGGTGAGATGAAATTTCTCAAGTTCAAAAAAGAATTGAATGTCCTTTCTGGGAAAGCAGAAGGGGGTCTGGTCTCCTTCCCCTCTGTTTTCTTCCTTCTTTTACTGGTGTTAGCCCCATTTGCAACTTTTTGGAACAAGTCATTTTCCAGGGAACTGTTCCTATTCCAGTAATTGCCAACAGATACAAATGGTTGAAGAACCAGAAGTGTGAACTTCAAAATAAGACCATAAATTATGCATTGACACAACCCGGGAGAGAGCATCTGTTCTACATGCAGAAGGGCCCTGAGCTCCTCTGGGTATTTCCAGGCAGCCTTGGAAAGACTCCTAGCTGAAATCTTGGAGAACCACAGTGAGTCACTGCTAACATATTAGACTAGATCGACCAAGGTTTGACTTAATCCAAAGCAGCCTGCTATGTTTTTAACCAGGAAACCATCTCCTGCACGACGTTTTAGCGTAACATCTGGCCAAACGCTTCTTTCCCACAACATGTTACGATGCATGTTGTCCATTTGCACTTCATTTTCAACATACCTGTACATGCATAAGGAGCTAGAGTTGTACACCCGAAATAAGCTGTGGACCCTCCAGTATGACATAGAACTAGGAGAATAGCCTCTTCATCTTTCCCTTGCACTGTGCCCAGTATATTGCTTTTGTGCGTGGTGCAGCCAAGTATTCTGGGTCCACACTGACAATTGCTGATGTAGGTATATGTGCGTAAGGACCTGGGAGTTTGCTTCCTGAATTGGCTTTGGGCAGGCTGCTCAAATCCACGCGGAGGGTGCTTCTGCATGTATGGGCTGCTAGCAAAGCGAGAGCCTTGGTGGGGAGGAACGGCAGAGGACTGAGCATCCCAGCTAGGAGGGAGTGTGTCGCTGTTGTGACACTCCTGTGGGTTTCAGCCGAGAAAAGAAAAGCCTATTGCACAACCAGAAGAGAAGGTAACCCTGGACCTTTGTACCGTTTACGCGTCCTTTCCATGAAAAAGTGATACCAGATTGTATGTTGCAATGGAGAAAGGGTGACTGGGAAGAAAGGTGAACAGTCAAGTTTAGAAGATGGGCAGAGGGATTTTAAAGAGATAATTCATATTTTGGGTGAAAAATAAGTCCTATCTAGACTAGACTCAAGGAAATGAATAGAACTGAGCTGCTTGTGGCAAACGCAAGTCTCATTCCTTTCAGTGAGTCTACTCCAAGGTGGACTTAGAGTAGATTTTACCCCTTATTTATATCTAGCAATTCCTTTAAGAATCTAAAAGCCTTCTCTCCAATTTTATCCTCAGTCCTGTGAGGTAGGTTAGGCTGAGGGTTAGTGATTTGAACCTGGGTCTTTCCAGTCCTAGTCAGACGCCCTCATAACAATTCCATGGCAGCAGACATGTATATTGTCTTTCAAATACACATTTTATTTGCTTAATTTTTGTAGGCAAGCCCCAGCTCCTTGTTGGGGCACTTCCAATTCAATCATACCTTCATTATTTTCTGTGTTAGAAATGCTGACTCAGTTCTTGATTTTAAAACGGTTGGCATTTATAAGAATGGGGGCTAATTATAGTTTCAACTGTGGTTCGACAGGAGAGGGCATTTATGTTTCTATTAAATATTTCTCAGGCAATGTGATGAGTCACTAAATACAGCTTCTGCACAAAATACCCTGATTGCCTAATGACTAGGTGTTGGTAACTGAAATTATTCTCACACAATCTGCCCTGCATGAAATCAGGGAAGTGTCTCTCTGAGTAATGCATTAGCTGAGGTTGCCCAAGGACTGTAAAATGGCTTTTGATTGCAAAACCTGTAAAAATATAGCCTTGCATTCTGAAGAACCTGGAAAACACCTGTCACACTTTATGACAAGATTTTACTTCTGCATGTACATTGGCAAAGATGGCATATTGGCAGTTACACATTTCCAGGTTTCTTATCCCCAGTACAGTAATATTCTCCTTCATATGCTTTTGTACATCACTTAGAAATGCCTTTAATATAAGCCAGTCATAAATATCCTTAAATCAACAAAGATACAAATAAAATATAATTAGGAGTGGTGGGAAAATAACCATTATTTCAGAACAAAACCACTGCAGAGAGCTAATATGATACAGTGGATAGAGAGCTGTGGAAATTTGGGTTCGAACCCCTTTGGCTGGGTAACTTATTGGGGTTCCTAGGACTTAAGCCAACCTACCTTATAGAGTTCTTGTAAGGATAACATGGGAAGGGGGACGTAAGCGAAGGAAGGTGAATACAGAGGCCCCTTTATCAAGTGATGCATTACCATAGTGTAAGCGTGGGATAAATTGATTTTGTGTCATACCACTATGTGAGGAATGTGTCAGACCGATCAACCCCAGGAATGTGGCGAAATTATCTTCACTCCTTGGCAGGATGATACAGACAGCACATTTCTCAAGTGGGTCCATGCACGGTGTGATACATTCACTTTGGTCAACTGTCTCCCATAGTCACCTACATCCATCCTGGGCATCCTCTAATTTAATACAAATGGTCATCACAATTGTGAAGAGTGAGGCACCTCTTTATAGAGGGAACGTGGGAATCTCCTTGCTCCGGCCAATGCAATTACATTAGCGCAGTGGAATTTACATTCGCGCTTGCTTGCGATTGGATGCTGCCCAGTGGTGCAATGGATTGTGCGCTTTTTCTTTACTGGCGGCTGCTCCATTGTTGCCCTGAAATGCCAAATAGCTGCCAGTTTTGGTAAGAAACAGGGAGGAAAACTCACTTTTTTGGGCTTTTCTTCCCCTCCCAATAGGGGGGAGGTGAACCGCCTGTCAAGCCCGTGCAAAACTCCTCTGTCCTTGACGAGGAGCATCTGGCAGCTTGTTTTTACCTGGTCCCACAACATACCTGTGTAATAATATACGAGCATAAGAAGAGCCATGCCTGTCTCGTTCAGCATCCCGTTTGCACATTGACTAACCAGCTGCCCATGGAAAGCCCTTAAGAAGGACATCAGCACCCTCCTCTTCCTGTCCCTTAGCAATTAGTGTTGGTATCCTGAAGCAAACAATTGGTATCCTGAAGCATACTGTCTGATTCAGGATGTAATGCACAGCCATCCTCCCAGTAGCCATTGATAGTACCCTCCATGAATTTGTCCAGTCTTCTTTTCAAGCTCTCCAAATTAGTGGCCTTCAGTGTAACTTGTAGGAAATGCCAGATTGCCACTGTGATCTTAGGAGAAGCTGTAATACAGGAGGTGGAGGGTGATTGAGAGAGAGAGAGAGAGAGAGAGAGAGAGAGAGAGAGAGAGAGAGAGAGATGGTAGTGGTGAAAAATGAATTACTGCAAAGTTCTAGGTAAGTGTGGGAAGACACAGGGTTTCCATGAAGTGTCTAGCTGGGTCAGAGCATGCATGGCAGCAATGCTCCTGGAGCAGTGGTGACCTGACAGTAAAAAGTTGTATTGGTGTTACTGTGTTTATTTAAGTATGGATACCTTGGTTTTCAAAGCAAAGTGCCTTCACAAAGTTAAACCTATATAAATACAATGCATTGCAATGCAATATAATCTTAAACTATACAATATTTATTTATTTACTTATTTATTTATTAAAACATTTTTATGCCGCCCCATTCGCCGAAGCCTCGGGGCGGCTTACAACAATAAATTAATATAAACATTAAAAATCCAAAAAAATACAATATAAAATAAGCCGCCCTGGCCAGATAATATAAAATAAGCCGCCCTGGCCAGATAAAGACAACAGCCTTTAAAACAATAAAGACAACAGCCTTTAAAACAGGAATTTAATAGAGTATAATGGTAAAAAGGCCCTCTAAAGTATGAAGGTCTTTGAAGCCTGCTTAAAAACAATGAAGTAGGGGATGGCCAATTTCCCTAGAATCACCACTGAGAAGGCTCTGCCCGTGCTTCTCAGTGGTTCAGATTGAGCCTTTGTGAAGTTGCATTGCATCCCACTCTTGTAAAGTGCAGACTTCAGGAACTTGGCCTTATTTGATCTACCAGTGCAAATCAACATATAGCTTGCAGCTTTTTCTTGCAGCTTCTTGTTTTGTTTCTGTCCCTGGCATGGATCTCCTTCTGTTTAGCATTCTGACCTGAATTTTCCAAAGAACAAATGCACACACACACAAATATAAATGTTTTGTTTTGCAGATGACGCAGAAGAAGTTAATGAAATGGAAAATGTGATGCTAGAATATGCTGCAATGAACAGAGAACTAAACCATTATGTAGAAGCGGTTACAGGTATCGTGAATAAGGTAAATTACAGTGTTTGCATACATGTGGAGAGGGATGTATGTTCTTTCTTTTTAATCTGAATTGGAAGCGGGTCTGACACCCCTGGAGTAATCTGCCTTCAGTATCGACATCTGAAAAGGTTGAAAGAAATGCAGCAGGGGATATGATGGAGTTTTATGAAACCACTGTCAAAGAAACCTTGCTTTGCGTGAGTTATGTATGGCTCACCATCCCTAGGCGGCACCATGGCCTTGCATATTTGTAGTGGATTTCAAACTCCCATGCTGTTATACATTTACCACAGCGGGGACTGCGCTCTTGCTGTATGCACCAGTGGAAGGGACAGTAACCCCTGATTTTCACAGGCTTGATTTCTGTATTTGTTGTAGCCTCTAATAACCCCTGTTTCTGATGCAAAACAAAAAATTTATAGTGCAGAGTGCCTTCTTTGCAAATTAGCCTGATTTGTGCTGAAACATTTTCCAATTCAGAATTTCCAGAACATCCACAACCGTGGCTGCACAGCTGCAGCTGAGTCCAGAGGTGGCTCTGGATGTACTTGGGTGTGCTGAGAAGAGTGGATGCAGGCCTTAAGTCATGCGGGAGGCAACCTGGACAGTGGACTAAAGGCTGACAGCATAACCACGGACAATTTCTGTAGCTCAGGAAGGCTCCCCCTTTTGCACGAGCCTCGGAGGAAGGGCCTAGGACCCGAAGGATGGTCAAGGGAAGAGCACCCCAGTAGCAGGAAATAAAAGGGGTAACCGGAATTTGCTCCCTTTCTCTTGCACAATTTTCAACAAATTGTTTGGCAGAACACTAGAGTGTGTATATTCAACTCTGTTACTAATAAAAGCCAAAGCCTCAAAGCCACGTGGTGCATTTTTACGAGCACAGGAGTGGTACTCGGTTGATCTGGGTTCTAGTCCGTGTGCAACTTGGGTGGCCTTAAGGGCAGTCATGGACTCTCGGCCCAACTCACCACTTAGGGTAGTTGTTTTGGGGATCAGTTTGAGAGCGGGAGGTGGAGAATGATGTAAGCCACTTGGATTTTCTTTTTTAAAAAGATAGGAGGAAGGATATGAATCAAGAAACAAAAAATAAATAATTAAAGCCAAAGGCTCAGAGCATCAGGTGTCGGGCTTGACCTGCTTTAGATGAATAGAAACAGTGATTTGATATAGAACATCCCTTTGCAACTCTAACAATATGTTTTTTCTAGAGGGACCAGGTTTATAATTTATAGAGTGCAGCCATGGACATTTTCAATGGACTTGTGAATGTTGAATAAGTCATCCTGAGACTAGCTGCCAATTTCTGGGGTTTAAATAATCTTTTACCTTTGCTACTTATAAAACAATAAAAGTGTCTAATTAAAATGAAAGACCGTCGGCAGCGGGTACATTTGCGAGGTTCAGAAAGCTTGGCTGTTGACTCAAGCTGCTCCTAGGGCAAAAACAGCAGGTGAGCTTCAGAAGCATCTCTTCTGATTGATTCAGCTGCCTGTTGAGTAGGGAATCAGCAACTGCATTGCACTGATAGTTCCAGTGACCAACTGTGGGAAACCCTTCGTTTGATAAGGAGTGGAAACTCCCTTTTGTGCTGCATTTAGCTCACCTGTAAGATGATTTACCTTATGGCACTTCCCTTATGGCACTTCCCTTATGGCACTTCCCTTATGGCACTTCCCTTATGGCACTTCTCTTTTCCAAATGGTCTGGATTACTGTGCTACCTCTTTTTTCCCTCCTTTGAATTAACCAACGCCCAAATTATTGTTAAGACCAAGAACTTAACTGATTATATCACAATTTGGTTTAGCTCTTAGAAAGAAAAGAAAAACTAGATCCTCTTTCATGTAAAATGTGGCCAACATGAAGCAGACAAAAACAAACCAAAACATAGAGTGGTTTTGTTTTAGCCTCTGGTTTCTTAGTGTCAAAGACCAAGCCTAATTATTTCCTAAGATCCAACTGTCTTATTTGTTTGGTCCTGGGGTTGCATTAAAGTTAAGATCAAGATGTGACCAAAGTACACACTTCTCCAAATATCTGCATCTTTTATGTAAGTCTTTACAGGCTGTGATTAGCTAATGATAGACCCAAAGGAACTCTGTTCTTTTAATTTTCAAGAAATGATTTGCTCCAAGGGTATCTTAATCGGAATCTGTCATATAAGAGCATAAGGCTAGTACTGCTGGGTTTGATCAAAGGTCTACCTAGTCAAAATCCTTTTTCCAGCAGTGGTCAGTTAGATGATACAGAGACTAGCTAGCCCTGCTGATTGTCTCCAGCATCTGGTATTTAGAGAGTTCTTCTGAACATGGAAATTCCAATTTGCTTCTCAGCCTAATCATGTGCTATTCAACACCATCCTTTCATTGGTTCCCAACAACAGCTATGCATGTGTGCCTACCTACTTCACAGGGTTGTAGTTGTGAGGATAAAATGGAGCTGTGTAAGCTGCCTTGGGTTCCTCATAAGAGGAAAAGAGGCAGGATAGAGGGGGCTGTGGTGACATCTGTGATAGTGTCCGTCACGGTGCCCTGTGATCTGAGCATTTGGTAAGTTTCACTAGTTTTTTAAATTGTAGCCCATAGAACAGAATTTGGACTCTTCAGACAGCCTATGATAGGAAGATCCAAAGTTGCAATAAAGCATATAAAGTAAGCAAAAGAAGGGATAAAATCTACACCTAGATGATGATGCCGTTATTATGTGCCATCAAGTTGTCTCCAACTTGTGGCAACCCTATGAATGAAAGCTTTCCGTAAAGTCCTGTCCATGACAGCACGGCCTAGCCCTTATAAGCTTCCTTTACAGAGCCCATCCATCCCATATCTGGTTTCCTTTTCTTTTTCTGCCTTCCACTTTCCCTAGCATGATATAGATGGGAGTGCCAAAATGATTGAACAGCAAATTATTCTAAAAGCAACAGCCACGGAAGCCTGACTAAGAGAGCAATCATAAGGTCACCCAGGGAACACTCTGAAAATCTCATGGAAAAGCAAGAGGAATGACAACTCTTTGTCTTTTCAAGGGATGTTCCGTGTGACAAGCTTTTGAGGGCATCTAGCAGAATAGTAGCAATGGGAGCTGGGAAGTTGTACAATCCAGTGGATCCATGCTGCCTCCATCCCCATTCCATCTCTTCTGCATCCTTATCAAAGGTTGACATTTGACCTCAGATGAATGAGCCTCTGGTGCTTTCTGCTGCGGGGATGAGGCTGAGGGAATCCTCACTCAGATTTTTCTTTATGAAGTCCTAGCGATGCTGTGGGCCTCCGAGAAGGAACTCCACAATATCCTGTGGTCCCTGGGATGCTTCCAGAAAAAATGGCATTGCTCTTTAGAAGACTGTGTTTGATTCTTGGCAGGGACCTAGCTTGATGGCTGTCCTTGATGCTTTGCTCCCAGAGGATGGAAGATGCTCCTGCCTGTCCAACTGGCTGTCCACCTTATGTGGTGGACTGTGATTCCCAGAAGTCTTTGCACCTGCAGGATGCCGGGTTGGCCTAACAGAAAATTCATCTGCTGTAGCCTTTCTTGCTGCCATTAGCTCTTTAATGTCTTTTCTATCAAAGCAAATGCAAGGAGAGATGGAAAACCTGTATTGGCTGTTGATATTCTGTACAAGTGGTCCTGGACACAACACTACTAGTTCCAGGGAGACCTAGAAGAAAAGTAAAGCAGAATCTGTTTTTGTTCAGAAGTTCTTTTCAGTATAAGGAATACTTAGGAGTTTATTTTATGTCATTTTTAAATCACAAAGGGGTTATTTTCTGGTTTATATTGTGTCAGCCTTATGAAGGACAGGTTGTTATACATCAGTTTGGGGAAGTGGTTCTGATCAAAGGCAGAGTCCTGGGTGAGAGCCTTAGTGCAAGGGGAGGAAAGTTCATGTATAGGAAGGGCAACCATTAGTGCTTTTTTTGTTAAAAAAAAAAAAAAGGTGCCGGAACTCACATCCTCCCCGCAGTAAGCACACACACCAATCCCAAGTGGAGCAGCATCCCAAGCAGCTATCTCTCACTATCAGCAGATAGCAGACACAATAGCAGCCTGCAGGCACTATGTTAAAGATGTTTACTGCTGATCTGCTACTCCGTTGAAAATCACTTGGTGCCGGAACACTGTTCCGGTGCATTCTATGACAAAAAAAGCAACCATTAAATTCATTATACATGGTGGAAAAAGTGCATTCTTTTGTTCTGTGTGCAAGCCATCGGCATGTGTTCAGCCTTGCGAATAATTCCAGTCATGCTTTCTCTAGCATGACCTCTGTTACCCCCATCTGCTTGCTACCTCTTGGACTGGGTTTTTTGTAGCGAAGGTGCCTACTACTCAAGGCAAAAGAATCATACAACAGTAGATATATATGAAGCCACCTTATACGGAGTAGTCTTCTGACTACTGCTCCTTGTACCCCAGTAGTATGAACCCTGAGTGGCAGTCTGTGGAGACTGAGCCCCCAAAATACAGCTTTCCAGGGTGATTACTTCCAAGTGGAAGAATAGGTGGGGTCGGAATTCATAGCAGAAATGGAAGGCCAGCATGCCCTGAGGTAAGCCAGAGGCAGGTGAGAGCCATTGCACCTCTGGTTCTGGGAGGTATTTCACTGAACAGGGACAGGTGGGGCGTGATCAGTCTCATCATCTGACATAAGATCAAAATAGTAGTGCAGCGGAGCAGTATCTTGCATCTAATGTTCTTATCATCTGACCCATAAGCAGGAGGAACCACCCTGATTGGTTGGGAAATAAGGGGAGAGATACAGTTTCGAATTAGCTTCTGAGCATGTGCCATCTTCCCCTAGGAGCTGGTTTTCTAACTTTGCTGGTGTGTTTTGTTAAGGACATCTGCAATACTCCTTTATGAATCACAAAGTCAGCCTAGCTGGCCAGCTTTAAAATAATAATGGCTGTAGTTGGAAACCTCTCATCTTGATGTACATAGAAGGAAAGCTGGGAGTGGGGAAAAGACCAGCCTCTGACACACTGGCTTTCTTGCAGGAACACAGAA